GCGACACCCAACACATCTACAACCTACATCATGCTTATGTGCTTACTTAGAAGCAACCAACAATGCAAGAATATAAAGCTAGTGTTTAAACATTCTTGTTAGAAATTAAATGTCAAGATAGCATTGTCTTACTACTTTTTTCATACTTAGAAAGGTTAAGATTCACTTCGAACTAACAGCCATTAACACTTTTGTTACAATTTTTAAAAGGCCTAAACTCTATTAACTCCAACCCACAAGTATTTCATGCAATAGTCCATACTTCATACTAATCTATAGGAACAAAATATTTAAGCATTAATTAATTATTTCGCCCACAATAAATCACCAAAATTAGTACTTTAGACGTAAGTTCAAGTGTTTGCCGTCTTAACGAAAAGAGCTTATCTTAACTTCAATTTTGATTTTTGAGCTTCCAAGAGCACTAGTTAACAATATTTATTTTGATTTTTCTCCACAACAAAAGTGAGTCACATAGAATTTGTTTATTATTTCAGGTAAGTTTCAAACTCTTAAACCCAGCGAACTTGTTTTGCTAATGTCTTTTAGGTTTTAATCTTGATGCTAAGTAAGCTCGTAACATTAGGGCTGTTACAAAATCGCAACATACATTGTGTATATTTAAGCATGATTGCGTATATTGATCATTTTGATATCATCATGATATAGAAATAATTATGCAATCATTTGAGATACAATTTCCATCATGTGGATTTGAGATGGAGGATGTGGGTAAGACCAAATATTGCCTAGGCTTATAGCTTGAGCACCGTCCTTCAGGAATTTTAGTGCATCAATTAACCTATATCCAGAAAATATTAGAGAAATTCAATATGGACAAATGATATCTTAACAAAACCCCGATGCTTGTTCGTTCTTTAGAAATAGAGAACGATCCATTTAGACCACGGGATATTGGAGAAAAGATATTGGAACCGAGGCTCCATATCTTAGTGTCAGTGGGGCACTTATGTATCTTGCAAATTGCACCAGGCCTGATATTGCATTTGTAGTGAACATACTTCTTAGACATAGTGTAAATCTAACTCGTCGTCGTTAGATGGGAGCGAAGCACATCCTCAGATATTTTAGTGGCACACAGTGTTAGCCTAAACGGCCGATTAAACGGCCACTAAACGGTAAACGGTGGTAAACTGTTTTGTTTAGGGGGTAAACGAAAATTAAACGGTTGACCGTTTAAACAGTTAAAAAACGAAAAAATGGTCTAAACGGAACGGAGATAAACGGTATTAAACGGGCTAAACAGTTGTGTTAGACGGCTGTTTAGACGAACACGAGGTAAATCTAGTTCAGTTTTGTATGGATAAATTTGTATACTTAAGTTTATTATATTTATAAATATGTATACTTGATATGTTATATGCATAAATATCTATATTTGGTTCTTTTCACATGCATAAATCTATATATACATACCAAAATAATTGATTTTTACTCAGATAAATATGTATAAATGCTAGAATACTTGATTTTTTACATGCAGATATATAATTATATGTTTTTTTAAAGTACAAAACCGTTTAGACCGTTTAACTTCGTTTAAACACCGTGTAAATAGCCTAAACGCTAAATGAAGAGCAACCGTGTAAAGACCGTTTACCATTTAGGAAAACATTGGTGGCACAAAGGATCTTTGTTTATTCTTTAAGAGAAATCATGATCCCAATATGATTGGATACACGGATGCTGGTACTTATCTGGTTCCTATCCCAAACAGGATTTGTATTCTTACATGGAGGTACGGCTATTTCATGAAGTCTTCTAAACAGACTCTCACGGCGACCTCTACTAATCATTCTGAAATTATTACTCTATACGAGGCATCACATGAATGTTTATGGCTTCGCAGAATGATTAACCACATACAACAATCATGTGGTATTGGTTTGATTGAATCACCTACAATTATCTATGAAGATATTTTTGCTTATGTTAGATAGATGCAAACAGGTTAGATAAAGAGTAATGTCACTAAGCACATTGTCCCTAAGCTGTTTTATCCCCACGAATTACAATAAAGGCCCCGTTCGCGTGCCCTTAAACCCGGCTTCCACTTCTATTTTCATCCGAAACCGTGTTTTTCTCTCACAAATTCCTCCAGTATTCCTCCAAACCATCCAAATTCCTCCAGAATTCCCCCAAGCGAACAGGCCCAAAGTGGGGAAATAAACACCTTGCAAATCAAGTCATGTGATGATCTCGCTGATATATTTACTAAGTCCTTACCAACTTCTATGTTTCAAAATTTTTACATAAGATAGACATGCGACGACTTCGAAATTTACAAGAATCAGGGAGAGACATCTCCTAGATGCTGACTTGTACAAGTATCACATCATACTCTTTTCTTTCATAAGTTTTACTCAGAAGGTTTCTTGTTAAAGTTTTTTATGAGGTAATATTAACATAAGCATGTGTCATATTTTCTATTTTTCCCATCGGGGTTTTGTGGGAAATATCAAAGACACATATTGCCCTAACTCATCCATGGTTTTTTTCTGAAAAGGTTTTTCATGTAAATTATCCAAAAGGCAATATCAATAATATGGCGTCCATTTTCTCCTAATTTTTCTATTGGTTTTTTACAGGAGTTTTAGCGACATATCACTTTATATTACTGCTCATATTTTTTTTCCTTGAGGGAGTTATCTTTACGTCATATCTCTAATATTTTTTCCCACTGGGGTTTTTAATGGGATACCAATGACATAGTGATTTATTTAAATCACACATAAATATATTATTCTCTCCTTATTTTTCAATAAAGTTTAAAGGAGTTTTATGGCATATCCATATATTCCTTAGATTTTTTCCATCAGATTTTTCGAGGAATTTCAGCTTATAGCTACATCGATCTCAAGGAAGATTCGATCAAAAGGGAAATATTGTGAAATGACACCTACACACGAACAGACGTCTACGGACAAACATGTGTCTCTTCACGAAGTGATCTTATCCATCAATTACAGGATTAGACAGTTAGTTTTAGTCTCAAAGACATGTTATCCTTTGTGAACAGTTGTGTCCCCTCCACTCACTCCTTCACATGTATATATATCCGAGAGATCAATGAAATTAACGATTCTTTCAAATCTTGTTCATTTACATTCACTTCGAACACATGTTTCGTTTATGCTCGCCAAGTCACCTATACAATGGATGTCTTCGACGTGATATTGAGATAGCCAGTCGTCGAGAGGCAAGACTAAAATGTACGAAAAAGACAAATCCAATTTACAAGGAGTAATGTCCGTGATAACTAGTCATAAGCCAAAGCTAAGCTCAGACAAATAAGTTGCTCACATTTGTTTTCGGTTGCATGCTGGAAAAATGTGCAATTTTCAGCGCACAATTTCGAAAGGGCAACCAGTTGTAGACCTTCAAGCTGGCCCAGCGTGATTTTGTTCCATTCCAATCTATTGATAACCACATATTCAGGCCAAACTAGCACAAACGAGATGGTGACAACTAAAATTAGGAACCTATTGGCTTCACATGTAAAATTAGGAGCATGTTAAATACAGCGAAGGCATAACGAGCCAACGAGGTGCTTCGTTAGCACAGAAATACCAGCGTGTGCCCCATGTGGGTTGCTGCATCTCACGCCAAACAGTACCCATAAGAGAGGTAGCCGGGCACGCACGACACCACACAAAAATAAGCGTGACACACCGACTCCAAAGATGGAGACAGGCATGATGACAATATATATACTGTTGCCTCAAAACGTTTTAAAACAAAACAATTGCGTACCATCAAAATACGTGGGCGAGGATCTAGCCCAAAAAGTAATTTCCATGAATTTACCCAGATTTACCAAACTGAAACAATGTACTTCCAGCATACCGAGTTGACATGTGTATAGCAACCACAAACAAAGAGGGCAAGGAAAAGTGACCTTAAAATGCAACGTGAATGCCAAGCAATACCAAAGCACTATTGCACAGATGCAGAAGTCCAGCATTGTCCAAATGAAGCATTCAGAAGAAGACTATAGGAAATACCAAAGCACTGGAATGATCTTTTTAAAAAATCATTTGCAAGAGCAGATTAGACCTCAAATCTGTGTATGTTTTCTGAGAGTGTTTACATAGAATTATTACAATCATCTTCCAGAGGAAACATATTTATACTACAATTGACGCCAACTCTATCAGAAAGTCCAACATACACTGAACAGGAGAAAAAGAAGAGCCATTGTACCAAGAATAACTTACCACAGGCAGAAGCATTATTCGACCACTACCAATACGGTGCAATGAAGGCAGAACACAAGGAACAGAAGTGAAGAATCAAAACCATAAGAAATAAAACCAACAAGTTTAGTCAAAGGCTGCCCCTCTTGCTGAAGTCAGCCTGACTAAGTTCCTTGGATGCTCAACTAGGTGCGGCTGGCCACACACACTTCATTCGCCCCAAATCCATAGCATGCAGAGTAGATTTATTTTCACGTGAGTGCTGCAATTAAAATAGCTGCTCTTGTTTCTATGATGAAAATCAAGGGCCTTACTTTCGCGAGCTGCATTTGTTATTGCTCAGTACACTCAAACCTTATCAGCTATATGGGGGAAAAGGATATTTACTAATTTGTGAAGAAGTAGCATCTTCGGTGAAGAATTTCATGATGAAACATCGAAGGCAGATAGTAATGGAAGGTTGACATTCGTTTGCAGGTAAGGACGTGCCAAGAATGGAAGAACAAAACCATGAAGACTACAACTGAGAGCCGTAGTTGGCCGAGTCGTTTAAGCAGAACATGCCTTTTTAACACAGAGAAGAAAGGTAATACGTCTTAGTGGCATAATACATCCAAATATTAAAAGTTCTTTAATGGCATAATCAAGACAATCACAATTAAGCTAGATAAGGTTTTAAACCTGAACTGAAGTCATGCAGTTGACGACAGTTCCAAATTTGTTCCTGACAGCCAAACCAAGGACCAAGTTCTCACACAGAAGAATCAAGCACGGGCTTCAGTCCTAGCTCCTGCTACACCAGTACCAGCCATCATTACCTCTGCATAACAGCACATGACAATGTGAGATATATGTATTCTATAAAGCTGTCCAGGAACATAGAATTGTATTTTCACTGATTCGCATACCCATTAGCAAGGGAGATACATATTTGTTGCAGTTGTACTACGGCGACCTGCTATAGCTGCGGCCACGAGCTGGCGAAGGACTACGGCGCCTTGGAGAGCGATAACGAGGGCTATAGCTCCTGCAAGCAGAGTAGTTAATTTAAGTCTGGTTTGTACGAGGTAATTAAAAGAAAGAATTAGAGAAGCCTGCTAAATGACAAATACAATTTTGGCAAAGTAGCAAATCGCAGGCTTGGCTAGCCAAAAGCCAAGCCCATAATGAATGAATCTACAATAGAAGGGCATTAAAGCAGAATAGTATCAGTTACCAAAGAGAGATATAAGAAGCATTCAAGGTTGAGCAATAAAATTTGAGAGTTAATTTACAACTGAAATCTAAAGTAAAAAAATGGTTACCTTCTACTATAGCTTGGACTCCTGCGGTATCTAGGGCTTCGGCTGCGGCTCCTGCTCCTGCTCCTGCTGCGACGTCTTCCACTGCCTAGACCTCCAGAACCAATGCGCAGACGACATTCACGTGCAAAGTGCCCAGTCTCACCACATTCATAGCACTTCGACTCAGATCCACCATACCGATCACGACCACCACGACCACTGGAATTACGAGATAGCTCAACTCTCCATCCATTCTTACCTATTTTAGAAACCATGCACCAAAGTATAGTTAATGCCAGCAATATGTAAGAGCAAAGTGAGGAGTAAGAGTAACAAATTGCAAATCCAGAACAATCAAAATGCTACTCCGTTCACCCAAAAAAAAATGCCAAATATAGAAGCAAGCTCTTAATACATGCCTCATTGAACAACTTTTCGAACAATCACAGGATTTCTCTTTATAAAACTAAAGTGTCCAGGCAGAGCTTCAAACAAGTTCGACCAGAAGACACTGCTAACATACCATCTAGATCACGAACAGCATCCTCTGCATCCCTCCTGTCATCAAAATCAATAAATGCAAAGCCAGGTGGTTTACGTGCGACCCAAACACTGCATTGAGAACAACAGTTAGCGAACTGTGCCAGGTGAAACAACACACTTCATCTCATAAAGAAAGAAGTCGTAAAGGACATAACAAGTAAAACCTATCCATCTCACTAGATCCAACATGAAGATACGTATGACTGCATACCACCATCTAAAAGATCCAAAATATTTTTTCTTAAAATAAGACATAGTTGGACGAGAATGCACAATGGACATAAATAAACATTACAAAGCACCTCTGTGGACAAATAGTTGGACGATCAAGTTTGCATAGTTTTACACCACTGCAATCGATAACTTTTATAAGGCAGCCGAAGCCCTTGAAAAGTCAAATATCACGGTGAATGAAACAAGTTTAACAAACTGGGAAAGGAAGTTGGCCACACAAACATAAGAAGAAAAATATGAGCAAAGTGAAATCAAAGTTGGTTCTGAACTATTCCTCTCCAATAAGTTAGTGAGATGATAAATAAATCACTAAAACATCATAAAGCTATTCTCTTGGGTTTCATCACCATATGAATGACAAGGTTCTTACGTTGGCTTGCCAAGCCTTCAAGCTTCATGGGAAAACATGAAAAAACTATGAAAAACATATCTATACAAAACCGGGATAAAGTTTGACAAAAAGTGACCTTCGCAGAACTCCAAATACACGGAACTCATCTTCGAGTTCCCCAGAAGTCACACGTGCATCCAAGTTGCCAACATACACGCGGGCCATAGTGAACAAATCCTGAACTTAGTCACAAGAGGAAAAAATAGAGTTAATTCAAATTAGTACTGCCAAACAATTTACCAAAAGAACGCATAATAAACAATTTTCATGTCCAAAATATACTAAGGGTGAGGGGTGAGTATCAGAAATCAAGACATGTGGGTATCAGAAATCAAGACATATCCCAGAGAACATCACACAGACACCATCTGCCGCAATTCCCAGTATGAATAGCCAACCTGATTCATAATTCAACAATGTTCTAAACAAAAATGAGTAGCAGCTGATGCTTTGCTGCTACAGCATAAAGCGACACATCGCAAATTTACAACAGAGTGGTCAGAATCATATTTGGAAGATTGAACAATTTCCGATCCTTGCAAGCAAAGCTAGATCCCTATTCCCTAAACCAAAGAGGTAACTCTATTGACCCAATGGAACAGCGGAATAGCCCTACGGAACAGGGAAACAGGCGATTGCATGATAAATCGCATGATATAACAATAATATAAACGTCAGGCGAATTCGACGCGAACGCGCAACAACTCCAATCTAAGCACAAGATGGCCACAGTATGACCACTCAAACACAAGGGTTACGCCGATCGAAACACCGAATCAAACTAACGAAATTAAACCACAAAATTGCGCGCGACCAGCTCACGGACCGAGAAGACATGGCGTCGACAACCAACAGTTACGCTTCTAGGGTTCCAAAACCTTGGGGGGCTAACACAGATGTGGAATCAGATATGAGACTGGATCAGAGGGTTTGGGGTTACCTGCGCGGGAACGAGATGAGAGCAGTCGCGTGCAGTAGCACCGCCAAGTTCCAGTCTGCGGCCGCTGCTGCTGCGGCGTTGGCGGCGGCGGAGGGCAGAGTGAAGTGAAGCTTCTAGTTTTGTGTGGAGTTGGAGGCGATAGGAGGAAGACACGGGCGGGCCATATAGCCTGTGTGCAGACGAGTCGCACACTCACGTGGGCCTTATGGTTCCACGACCCAACCCAGCTTTCGCCAGACCCAGGCCCAACGCCCAGTCGCCCACGGCCCACCGTTGGCTTTCCTAGTCAGCTCTCTCTCATCAAAATCCATCGTTTTCCTCAAAAAAAAAAAATCAAACCCAAAGTCATTCGCTTAAATAAAAAATAGGGTGTGTCTCCACAGCAGTTGCCTGAGATTTTGCATAAGCTTCGGTCATCTTCAACCTCTTGCTCCGCCGAGTGCTCCGAGCTAGCCAGCCCTTGGTGCCGTCCTGTCTCGTCGTGTAACTACAGCTGCAAAAGCATCGACCCGTGCGCTGGGCGGCCGCGCCCTTAGACTGACTCCAACAACGCGACGCAACCGCAAAATTGCGTCCGCCACAGTGCATTTGCGTTCTCAGAATCGGCTCCAACGGACGACGCAGAGCCAGCACACATTTTGGGTGGGAGGAGAGAGGGGAGGCAAATTTGCCTTCTCCCCACGCTTGTGACCCAAAACTCGTGGATCAAGGTCGGACGACGGGGAGCACGGGCTCCTCACCGCGCGACTCGACCGGAGCTCCGACGACGGGAGGAGCTGGTCGAGGTCACTGCTGGACCTTCTCGAGGGCGACGGGCTCGACGCCATCACCTCGCTCCTCGGCCGACGGCCTCGGCAAGGTCGCATGTGCTGCTTCTCCCCACGGTGTGGCGACTCCTTGAGCCGGTGGCCATGGGCTGCTCCCACTCACGGCAAAAGGAAGAGCAAGGTGGCGGTGGCGTGGCGCGAGACGGATTCGGCCCCCACCGTCCGCTGCGCACCTCGCTTCTTTGCCTAGGAGGGTCCCGCACCGCCGAGGGAGGAGATAGAAGGAGAGGAGAGGAGAGAGAGAGAGGAGGTCAAAGTGGTGCACGACGCGCAAGACGGAGGAGGACGCGGCCGGCCGAAGGCGGCAAGACGGAGGAGGAGGACGCGACCACCGGATCTTTTGCGTTGTCTATTGGAAATGATGATGTTTTGGGTCCAAATCCATTGGTTGTGCACGACGCAAATGATGAAATGCCTTTCGTTTTTAGATCACACGGTTGGAGACAGTCTTACTTGCTTGTTTGACCTGGCCATACCTACCTGCCTGAACTACACCGCATAGGAACCCCCGATGTGCAAGCGCCCCTGAGCTATCTAGCGGCGTCAGTGGACCGGCACGCGGTGCCTGGCTGGGTGGGAGAGAGACTAGGCACAGCGTTCAGAGTTAATTAGTCAATCGTTCATCTTCTCGTGAGCCCGTCGACTGATGCATCTGTGCTTGAGTAATTCTTAAAAAATATCATCATTCTAAAAAAATAGAAAACCACTTCGCCCCCTTCGCGAAGGAACCTCGTCGGCCTCGCCGTCCCCGGCGCGTGGGGCGCGTCGCGGCCGCCACACGCACCGTCGCACCGACCATCATCCCCTGCCCTCCCTGCCCCCACATCCACGCTCCTGCAGCGTACTTATACACGCTCCCCGCCGCTCCGACCTCACTTTCCCCGCCTCTATCACCAATTCCCTTTCCCCGCCGGGGTCGCCCGTCTCGCAACTCCCGAGCCGAATTCCCCTCCACCGCAACCGCCATGGGCGGCTCCCACAGCCGCGAGGATATCGACCTCACCTCCTCTGACGAAGAGGAGGAGTACGAGGACGACTACGACGCCCGATCACCCATCGCGGAGGCCGCTGCGAGCGCGGGGCAGCGCGACGACGACCTCCTCCGCACCGCCACCCCTTCGTCGCTTGAGGCCATCGACGCCAAGCTCAGGTCGCTGGATCTCAAGTACCAGCGTCCGGCCTCCACCAAGCTCTACCTCCACGTCGGCGGAGCCTCGCCCTCCGCGCACTGGGTGCCCGCCGAGCGCCGCGCGACCTACGCCTTCGTCGACAAATCGAGCGACGACGACTCTTCCCCCAGGTGGTTCCTGGAGGTCGGGCCGGGGCCGCGGGTCTCCGTGCCCGTGGACTCGGCGCTCCAGCTGAAGATGATCCCCGCGCAGCGCCGGGCGGACTTCGCCGCGAGCGGCTCCGTATGGGCTCTGCGACTGCCCACCGACGCCGAATTCCGCCGGTTCAGGGTGGAGTACGAGCGCTGCCTCTTCGAGAACACGTATGGGGTCGAGTCCACGGACGAGGGGCGGAAGGAGGTGTTCGGCGCCGACTTCGCCGCGTGGGCGCGGCCCGCCGAGGCCGACGACGCTGTTTGGGCCGACGCGGAGGAAAGCCTCACCCCTCCCGCCACAGCACCAGCGAAGGACCTGCTTGAGGAGTTCGAGGAGGAGGCCGGCAACGGCGACAGCATCCAGAGCCTCGCGCTTGGGGCGCTTGACAACAGCTTCTTGGTCGGTGGCGCCGGGATACAGGTGGTCAAGAACTTCCGCCACGGCTTGCATGGGAAGGGCGCGTCGGTGAGGATCTCGGGAGGCCGTGGCGGCAGTGGGAGCGCCTATTCGACACCGAAGAAGGCCCTGCTGATGCGCGGCGAGACTAACATGCTGCTGATGAGCCCAGGAGAGGCTCTGCATTCCAGTGGTGTCCACCATCTCGATATTGAGACTGGGAAGGTTGTCGCCGAATGGCGGTTTGAGAAGGATGGAGTTGATATCACAATGCGAGACATTGCCAATGACAGTAAGGGGGCGCAGTTGGAACCCTCCGGGTCGACATTCTTAGGCCTGGATGACAACAGGTTGTGTAGATGGGATATGCGCGACGCCAGAGGCAGGGTGCAGACAATCGGTAGCTCATCAGAGTCACCAGTGCTGAACTGGTCACAGGGTCATCAGTTCTCGCGGGGCACCAACTTCAATTGCTTTGCAAGTACTGGGGATGGTTCAGTAGTTGTTGGTTCTGTGGATGGGAAGATTAGACTCTATTCTAAGAGCTCGATGCGTATGGCGAAAACAGCATTCCCAGGGCTTGGGTCTCCAATTACACATGTGGATGTTACTTATGATGGGAAATGGATTTTGGGAACAACTGACACATACTTGATCTTGATATGCACCATCTTCAAGGACAAAGATGGAAAAGAAAAGACTGGGTTTAGTGGCCGTATGGGAAATAGGATTGCTGCACCAAGGCTGCTGAAGCTCACTCCACTTGATTCAATTTTAGCAGGGACTGACAACAAATTCCATGGCGGGCAATTCTCATGGGTAAGTTCAAATCTCCTGTTCTGAGCACATAATAATAGATGCCCCTGTAGTTAATCTAGTAAAATTAAATAGAATGCTAATTCAGATATGCATGATAAGTGAATTGTCTAGATTTCTCTGGTCCTGGTCACAGTAACAGTTCTGTCAAGGGCGTAGCGATCTAGGGTAGCTGGCCCTCGACTACGCAGTTCGTAGTCTCGTGCCGTGTCTTCCAGAGCGGAGGTTATGCCCCTCACGGCGCCTGGGCTTGAGAACGGGAGAGAGAGAGATTAGATAATTGATCTTTTTGCTTACCTCTCCAATTCCGGTTTACAGAGTATATATGGCCATCGGCCCTAACCACACGGGAGCAACAAACTCCTAGAATCAAGGTGCTAAATAAAGGAACTAACAAATCATAATTGATAACTATCTTTAGGAAAATCAGCCACCCATCGCGCCGTGTCCCTGATGCATGTCCGCGGTCACCGCGGCGCCTTCTGCTCCCGCGTTCGCCGCGCGTGCCGCGGCCCTGCGGATGTCTCTATCCCGACGCGTGCGCGTGTACGTTCGCCCGTACATGACATCTCTCCCCCCCTCGAGAGGCAGCTCGTCCGCGAGCTGGAAGTGAGGAAAGCGCGCGCTGAAGGAGTCCAAGTCCTCCCATGTTGCCGATGCCGCAGGCTCGTTCTTCCAGTGCACGAGGACCTGACGCACGCCGCGTGCGAGGCGAGCCTTGACGACGCGCTCGGGCTCCGGCACCGTGGCCCCGTTGTGGACGACCGGTAGAGGCGGAGGCGTAGTCGGAGGAGCTCCCACCCATGGCTTAAGGAGGCCAACATGGAACACGTCATGAAGACGGGCGCGCGGGGGCAGCTC